TGCAAGTAAATCAAGCAGGAAAGTTTTGAAGGCTTATGTTGCCTCTTCAAGTGAGTAGACACGAAGCTCATACATGACCTGGCGTGCAGAATTTGAAGACCGTGTGGGAGAAGTTGTAACATCCATAGCATCAAGGCTCCTCTGTGATGGAATTCCTACCTAAATCACCTTCCTAAATTAACGAAAACCACCCCAATCCTTCAATGATCACCTTTTGCTGAAAACTATAAGCAAATGCTAGAAAACTTACTAATTGATTACAAATAACAAAAGATATTAATCAGCACCAAGCTACCCGTAGTCAACGGTAGAAGCACAGACAAGAGCTCCTTTATCCAATAGCATTCTGACGCAGGCTGACCGACCTTGCTTCGTAGTAAGATGCAATGGCGTTGCCCCCTTGGCATCCTTCACATTAATAAAACGGGCAAATCCCCTAATGTTTGAGAAGGAAAAGATAAAAAGAAGACCGAAAGATTATTAGAAATTACAAAGAAATCCAAATGATCTGACTTATAAGATTTTTATTACTCAGTACCAGGATTCCGAAATCGGGTTGGAGTGGGCAGCCTCAAGAACTGATTCTAAACAATCAGAATGACCATAGTAGGCTGCATAGTGCAAGCATGTTCTTCCATTCACCGAATCAAACATCAAGATCTAAACGTAAGGGAAAATTAAAAGTTCGCCAATCGATGAAAGCGGATAACAGAGAAACGCATAAGAAGATAGAAAAGAAAGCCTACGTTTGCTCCCGCCTGAAGGAGTTTCTCCAGCAAGCAATCTTCCCACGCATTGCGGTCAGCATAAGAGGAGTCTACGGAGCAAAATCACGGACACATCAGATTTTGATCGCAGAATTATGAAAAAGATTCGATTTTTTCGTCTCCTGTTACCTGTTTGTTCCGGTTGAGAACATCGGGGTGATTCCATCTCTCCAAAAGCATTGAAAGCATCTGAAAATAATGTTAACGAAGCTATCAAGGATTGAATAGAAATGAGAAATGAACTGCTGATCTCGTCAATAAAAAAGGGAAACCTCGTCGTGCTCATTTGCAGCAGCGATGTGGAGGGAGGAGAGGCGGCCGTAAGCGGTAGTTTTCTTAATGATTTTGGGGTCTATATGGAGGATATGTTCCACTAATTGGAGCTCGCCGAAATGAAGTCCTCTCGATTGAAGCCGAACAGCACGACGAAGCTTCACTTTTCTCCTCTCGTTTGAAGCTTCGTTTTTCTCCTCTCGATTGAAGCCGAACAGCACGACGAAGCTACGCTTTTCTTCCAATGAATTTATAACTCGCTCGAATGGAGCGGGTTTCTAATTCCCGCAAAACAGCCTCCATAATACACTCCTAACGCATCCGACGATTACCTTTCGTTCCGCTCAAAATTAACCAAACAATTAAATTTAGTAAATACAGATATTTGTTTTACTTTACACTCCTAATTCAGGCAACCAAACAGCCCCTAAGAAAATTGTCCCAAACGAAGTCTAATAGTAGCTCATGAGCGTGGAGAAGGAGACATCATTAGCTTAATTACTATTGTAACATTATGGCATAGAGTTGTTAAGAAAGGAGATTAGGTTTTGTGTTGTGTAAATAGCTTGTACTAATGATGTTTCAATGATCTCTATATTTATTTATTACAACCTTTGTTGCAAATCTATTTTTCATGTCTTATTTTTTGATAATTGACAAACACTTTTAACTCTCTTGGACTGCCTGTTACTTCTAACTTTTCAGGAATCAAAGGTCGAACGAACAATACAAGCCAGTTAAAGATTGCGTAGGTTTAGGGTTGAGTCAGTCTGTACTTTGTTTTTTCTCTTGTTGAGTCTATTTGTAATGTCCAAAGAGACTGATGCTAAGTAACCCTACACACACACACTTGAGAGACTTAGAATTTCTATTTTTACTCATATCGGTCAGGATGATATTTACATCGTCCTAGACGATCGGGCTTAAAAAAGAAAATCTAAACAAGGATTCTTAATTAAGGAAGCCGTCATCAACAGATCGTCCTGGACGATACGTGTATCGGCCAGGACGATAAGCTCAAAATAGCAAGAAGTTCCGTCATAGACAATTAAGGTATTATGTATTTTTTAATAATCAGCGAAGACGATCATTGATCGGCCTGGACGATATTCACAAATTATGTCTTAATTGATCAGGAAATCAAGAGAGTAATTAAGGATGATTGATACGATTATATCATCCTGGACGATCTATTCAAAAACCTTAGTTACTTCTGGACGATAAATTTCGGCAAGCTCAAATTCAGGGCGATGCTCTGGACAATTTTCCTCTGATTTGAACTGATCGACCGGGACGATCGTGAGATCGGCCTGGACGATTAAGCCAATTTTAAATCATCCAGTTTACATTCATGACGATGTTTTGGCCGATCTTCTGAGATTTGTACTGATCGGCAGGACGATGTCCATATCGGCCTGGACAATTTTGTCGACAACTTGCAATTAATGAGCTCCTTTGAAGCTCTTATATTTAAGAGCTCTTGTTCAACATTTTAAATAATCTTTTGCTGCTGCCTTGATCTGAGAAGACCTTGAGGAGAGAAAGAGCGAGAGGGGGAGAGAGAGAGGATCTTATGAGGGGGAGCTTGTGAGGGAATTCAATTCACAAGGGTTGCTTCAAGGATTGCTCTGCTTCTTCTTCGTCTAGAGTTTCTCATCCGTGAAAGAGTCAGTAGAGGTAAGGAGTCAGCATCTGATTGTGGTTCTCTGCCAGCTTCAGGAGGAAGCAAAAGGAGATAGGTTCTCTGCCTTTCTAGGGTGGAAAAAAGAGGTTCGTTGTAAATGCTTCTCCGCCTAGCTGTGGGGGCTAAAGGAGAGTCATGATTGTAGTGCAATACTCAGAGGTCGCCTCTGGGGAGTGGATGTAGGTCGAGTTAACCGAACCACTATAAATCTCTGTGTTCTTATTTCTTGCTTCCGCACTTTAATTTCCGTATTTATTTTTCTCTTGGTGTGATTTTGGTTTATGTGATCTTTTGTTCTTTGTGAAAAGAACATTTTTAAAATACCAATTCACCCCCCCCCCCTCTTGGTTAGCTTGGGCCAGTTCTATAGGGCTTAACATCCCTAACGAACTTTCAACCTTCAGTTGATTATAGAGAGTTTTTTTGTTAATATTATAAGGATAAATCTACAATTTATGGACTCATATGTATTAGGGTCTTTGAAGAAAAAAAAATTATATTATGGTATCAAGATACAATATTAGTTAATATAGATTTAGAAAATGTTATATTTAATTTAAGATTTGTGTTATAAATATGAAAAAAAAATATTACATTTTTCTCAAAATAAATTCAAAAATTTGCAAGTCATTATGATAAAAAATTATATTAGGATATTTTGAGAGAAAAATTTTCCATTATTTGATGTTAATTATACAAAATTTTTTAGAAGCACAAGATTTCGATGCATATGATCATTATTTTTGCTAAATGTTTTTTTATATTAGTACTAATACAATACTAAGGTGAATAAAATAATAGAGTAAAAAATATAATTAGATCCAGCACTAAAAAAAATATGATTATAATTCAATGTGTGATATGCAAGGTATTATTATTTATTTTTTTCTGAAAATATAGTGTCCAAATATAATTTCAAATAAGAGATTAATTATTTTTTAATACTTGATCTCTTACAGGTTCACTTGAGAATATCAGAAACAATACAGTCTGAAGGCAACATGCTTTGCTGGTACCCTTGCCATGTAATTAATTCTCTGCAAGAGTATAGTAGAGGCATTGGAACAACTGCAACGGTGAAAAGTAAAGACTAGAAACCTTTAGATATTCACAAATGCAAAGCAAAGCAAAAACAAAATCAATGATTTGAACATATACAATAATATCTCTTGACTTTTTTGAGATGCAACATTGAAATTTACAGCAAACGTTGCCATCAAGAGAAAATGAAAGCAGATAAATAAATAATTCATGGAATCAACCCCAAAAAGTTATGATAAGGCTAATAATGTTGATTTGACATCAAGACAGGCATGTCATGAGGCTGGAAAGCATCAGAAACTCTGAACCAATACCTCCCTATTACTTTTTTTTAATTATTTATGTAAAATGTGAGTTCTGTTGTATTATTTTGATGAGTTCATAAACTTAAGTGATAATTTTTTGTATAAGTTTAGAAGTTGAGAGCAAGCTGATGCTCGGAATTGTGAAGGATGAAGAGAAGATAAGATAAGATGAGAAACAAGGTAAGTGGGAATGAAGATGGAGATAAAATATATAAAATACATGGTATGCTGTGGATGAGCAGTGAAGATAGGAGCTGCCAGCCAAAGCAATAGTGTTTAAGTATAATATCCAGACAATTATTTTTCAGATCAGATAAAGAGACAAATTCCAACTGTAGCTCTGGAAATAATTAATTATGACGTCCAGGTTTGCATGAAGGTAGCAGCTTAGTGGAGCAGTTGCGGTGCACAGTAGAAAGTCACGAGAATTAAGGCTAGGTGTTAACTAGGTAGGCTACACCTTTAAAGAAAATTAGCCCAATAATAATATTAAAATTGAAGAGAATAGCATATAACACTGGGCAATAAAAGTAAAGCACGTTATAGAAAGTTGCTCAACAGAATATAAATTGAAATTTGAATAAACTAGCATAAAAAGGGAGCACCAGAAGCGAGGAAGATTGAACAATATTGAACATCTCAGCAGCAAGACATAAGAAGTCGAGAAGAGAGAGAGAGAGAGAGAGAGAGAGAGAGAGAGAGCGCGCGCCAAAGCCACCACCCAGAAAAGATATCGAAGTCGGACAAGAACAGAAATAAACCTTCCAATATTCCATTAAACTGAGGATTTCAAGCCTCCAATTGTTTTATTTTTTTCCAAGAGATTTTGAGAATAAGACCAAATAACTTTGAGCTCTTTCGTCTATTCAACATCTGAATCCTTTCATGGTGCTTTTTTTTTTTTTTTTTGATAAAATTCAAAGAGGGGCCTACACGTTAATTTTCAAAAAAGCGGTTACAAGGTCCTTAGAAGGAACCTTCAGCTCACTAATGCTCGAAAGAGCTACAAGATAAAAAGAAATAAAACCTACGATCGAGCCAGTGGTTCCTTTTTCTAAAATTACAAAATATATCAGAATTAGAACTAGGGCTGTGAGTAAACAGCACCCAAAAAAGGAAGCTCAAATAGTTCCCGTTCAGCACAAACTTCCTACAAAAACTAAGAGCAAAAAAGGACAGCATATAAACTAGCAAAATAGAGGAAAAATTGCGCACCTTGAAGCTTTTATAATCAGAATTCTCCCTGTAAAAAACTCTCTTAAAATAAACATTAAACCAAAAATAGACTAAACTATTAGAAGTGTGAATCTTAACTTGATAACGGAAACTAAAATTCTCACCAAAATTCACACCCAGAATATTCCAGCCTAAAGAGTAAATACTACAGCACATACCCGAGAATACATGAAGTATACCAAAAGCCTCATCAAGGAAGATAGCAGTTAAAGTCCCCACAAACCTTCTTTTATACCTAAACAGAAAAACATCCCAACAATAGAAGCAAACTTTATCAGTAAAATCAAACATAAGATAATAAAAATTCACAGTACCAAAGATAACACATCACCACCAAAGATACATAGGAATATTGCAAAGCAGCAAGCATCCCGTCCAAAAACAAGACTGAAGCTGATCACCAAACTCCATATGATAAATCACCTGGAACCTAATAAAAATAAAATGATACACCCAGACCTCAATAACAGAAAAACCCCACCCAGAAGAACAACAACAGCAGAGAACCAAAAAAAGAACAGCCCATGCAGAAAGCCAAGCACCGGCCACCAGACGCTCAAACAAAAAAACAGATGTAAAACAAGTCATTTAGATCAAATATACGGCAAACCTATCTTATCCAGGTTAACCAAACCTTTTAATATATGAGGAATATTAACCGAATCAAACTATTTCTCCTCTTCCAACTTACTACCAAGCTTAGCTAAACAGTCAGCACACTCTTTCCATTCTCTAAGAACATGTTTCATCGTGTAGGTAAAAGTAGAGAGAGTCATACGAATCTTTCTAATAATATAAAATAAGTGGGGGACATACACATCCTTATTATTGATAATATGAATTAAACTAAGAGCATCCATCTCCACCTTAATGTTAATGAAACCTCTATTTTTACAAATGTAAAGGCCTTTAAGTAACCCCATAAATTCAGCGAAAATGACCTTACACGGAGATAAAGGGCCCGCATAAGCCACTATCACATTACCAACATTGTCACGAATAATCCCACCATACCCAGCAGAAATGAGATCCACAGAACCATCTGTGTTAAGTTTCAGATTGGGGGGAATCGGTTTAAGCCATCTCATAGTTCTTTCCCTTGTCATAAGCTCTTCAGTATGAATAGGAATGCCCAGACTCACACATAAATTATCACGGTTAATAAAAAAATTTCTCGAAATCAGCTTGAGAATAGAAAATTGAAGCAGTTTATGATTTATATTAGAAATAATCTCTTATCCTCCATCTTAATCCCATTATGCTTAGCATCATTACGAGCTTTCCAAAGAAACCATAAAATAAGCATCGGCAAGAGGTTAAGAACGTGACCTTTAATAGTGGAAATCCAACCAGTCAAAACCTCATGAATACTATTGATGGACATAGGATCATAAACAGGAATATGTTTGTTAACAATGCTGCCATAATAAGCCCACACTTTTTGAGTAATATTACCAAAAAGGAAAATATGATTAATACTTTCAATATTAGAACAACAATAGAATTTAGAGGGAAGATAAAAACCTTTATTCAAAGGCGGTCATCCACTGGAAGAAAACCTTTAATACACCTCCAAGCTAGAATAGAATAGGATAAAGGAATGTTGTTATGCCAGATAGAGCCATAAACATTAGAACCATCCTTTTTAATTCTAAAATTCTCCCACACATCTTTGATTTTAAATCTACCATTGGTAGAACTGTTAAAGAGCAGGCAGTCAGTATCATTAACATTCAAAGGAATGTTCAAAACAAGATGCGAAATATCAACAGGCAGAATCTCTTTTAATCTATTGACATTCCAGCTGCCATTAATAATAAAATAGCTAACCTTAGTAGAAACCAAAGTATGAGAAGACAATAAGCTATCAATAGAGCCCGACCCCAACCAATTTATCTTGACAAAAATAAACCTCCCCTTTTCCCAAACCCCACTGGAAAAAAAATGTTCAGCATCCCAACTAATCTATTATAAATGCTTCCAAATAGGAGAATCAAATTTTTTAAAAGTACATAAAGTAGGATGCATCACTTTGCAATACTTAGCAAACATAAAATTAGACCATAAACTAACATTAGATCTAAAGGAGAACCAAAGTTTATAAGAAAAATACTTAACCATATCCAAAAAAACTCTTACAACCTAAACCACCCTCATTAAAAGGACCGCACAGTTTGTTCCAGGAGGACCAAAGAATACAAGACTTATCATTCTTTGCTCCCCAAAAAAATTTATTGATCAATCTTTCCAATCTAAGACAAATCGAAGGAGACGGATTAAGGGTGTGAATCATAAAAATAGGGATAGAATTTAAAACATGTTTAATAAGCACAAGTCTCCCACCAAAAAATAGAAAATTAGAGGACCAATTAGAAATTTTATATTGAAAAATCGTTATCATCTCTTCAAATAACATACTTTTCTTCCTCCCCTTGAAAATAGGGGTACCCAAATACTTGAAAGGCAAAGAGGAGCAACAAAATTCAGAAATCCTTTTAATATCATTAATCTTTTCATGACTAGTAGCTTTAGAAACAATGAAAGTACTTTTATTTTTGTTGATAGAAAGCCCGCTCATATTTTGAAAATCATTTAAATAGTTAACAAGATGTCTAATATTAGTCAAAGAACTGTTGGCAAAAATGATAAAATCATTGGCAAAGCTAAGGTGAGTAATAGGAATACCACCCATATATTATACGATAAAGCAAATTTGGATACTTTTTATAGAGAACCTCCAAACCCCTAGATAAGTAGTCAACCGCAATAATGAATAAAGCAGGGGAAAGAGGATCACCTTGACGCAAGGCTTGACTAGAATTAAAAAAACCATTACTTCTACCATTAATAATAACAGAAAAATAATAGTGCTCAATACTGTTCGTAATCAATAAAATGAAAGTTCGAGTAAAACCACAGAGAGTTAAAACTTTGTATAAAAAATTACAAGAAAGGTTATCATGAGCCTTAGTAATGTCCAATTTGAAAATAATATTCCCACCTTTCACTTTAGCATTGATATCGTGAGTCATTTCTTGCGCAAGTAAAACATTATCAAAGATGCTTCTACCTTTCACAAACCAGTTTGGTTTTGAGAAATAATTCTAGGAAGAAAATGAATAAGTCTAGTAGCAATGATCTTAGAGATAAGCTTATTAAAGAAGGAGCATAAACTAATCAGTCTAAAATCATTCCAGTTATTGGTCGCCTCTTTCTTAGGAATTAAAACAATGTTAGTAGAAGAGAAAAAATTAATATAAGGCTTACCCGAAAAGAACTCAGAAACAGCCTCCATAATATCCCTTTTATTAATATGCCATGTCTTAATAAAAAACTTAGTAGTAAAGCCATCCGGCCCTGCCACAGAATCCACATTAATCTCCTGCATAACCTTCCAAACTTCATCATCAGACGGAGACATAGTAAGAAATAAGTTATCGACCTCCGAGATACAAGAAGGGACAATATGAGAATTAATCATAGTAGAAGAAACAAAACCACTATTAAAATTATGTTTAAAGTGCTCCACACCAGAATTTAAAATAGAATCCTCCTCATCCAAAACACTACCATCATCAGAAGAAATTTTGAATATATGGTTCCTGGTTTTCTTTTTATTAGCCAAAGCATGAAAAAATTTGGTATTCCTATCTCCTTCAACCGTAAATGTAGTAGTAGCTTTTTGATACCAATATATCTCTTCCTGTTCTTGCAAAGTAATAAGATTGATCTTAGCAACATTAAGATCAACAAAAATAGAACTATCAGGGTTAATTTGAAAAGCTTTTTCAAGCTGTGACACCTCATTCTCAACATTCTTAATGTTAGCAAATAATTTTTTAAAAATATGTTTGTTCTACCATCTCAACACCTGCTTGAGTCTACTAAGTTTGTTCCATAACCTAGCCATACCCAAAATATTGTTATTAGGGAAAACAGGAGCCTGCCAATTTCTCTCAACAACATTAAGAAAATCATGATGAGAAAGCCACATATTTTGAAACTTAAAGGCAGAAGGAATAAACTTCTGATTAGCATTTATAAAAAGCAAAAGAGGAGCATGATCAAAAGCAGTCCTACTAAGGTGCTCAACATGAGTCATATGAAACTTAGCAATCCAATTACTATTAAATAAAACCCTATCAAGTCTTTGCCACAAGTTACCTCTATTCCAAGTGTAAGCATTACCAAAGAAACCTAAATCATGAAGATCACAAGTAGATATCATGGAATTAAAATCTTTCATAGCATTAGTATTAGGAATGTTACACCCAATCTTTCAGTAGCATTAGAAATAACATTAAAATCACCTTCAATACACCAAGGCATTGAAATAGATGAAGCAACATTCGTAAGCTGATCCCAAAGGGTTAGCCGACACCCTCTAGTGCTAGCAGCATAAACAAACGAGGCATTACATTCAAAATTAAACATAGATATGGAAGTATATATGAACAACTTGAACATAATCATCAATAATATTCACCTTAATATCATTATTCCAAAATATCCAAATTTTATTGGAGCAATTGACAAATCTATTAGCAAAATCTAATTTAGAAGCAGTATTATCAAGTTTACTCATAGCAATCAAAGGTTCAAGTAAAACCAGCAAGTGGATATTATGAATCCTACAAATATTTCTAACTCTAGTTTTAGAAACCTTACCACCAATACCTCTAATATTTCAAATAAGTGACTTAACCATGAGAACCTTTTGCACTAGTTTGTGTTTTAGTAGAGTACTGCGTCTAGGATCCAGCATCTTTGGATTTTTTCCCTTTTTTTGTAACTTTAGAAAAATTTTCCTCCTCCAAATTTTCAGAAAAGAATCATCCACCGCAGGTTTTTTAGATTTAGAGCCATCTAAATCCAAAGGTAAAGAGCTACCATGCTCCAGATTATACACCTGTTTGTCCTTCTTTTTATCAGTATGAATAATTTCCCCTTCTTCACAGGTATCATTCACATCAGAATCTAAATTAATATTAGAATGCAGAGCAGCTACTTGAACATCTTCAGGATTTTTTAACATAGAATCAACATAAACAAAAATATTAGGAAGATTTTCAGTATCTTTACCAACATCAATACCTCCCATAATAGCATCCAACTCACCTCTATTATCCGGAACATTTGAGCTAGTCCCAGGTTCGGCCTAGTTTTGAAGCACATCATTAAACACCGGATTGACCGGATTATTCTTAGAATTAGAAATAACAGGAGCATGAAGTAAATCATCCGTGGGTTTAGCAGTTTTCTTAAGCTTAGGATGTAGTTTGAAACAACCGAAATTTGCATGACCATGAATCTTGCAATGAGAGAAAAAATCCGAGACCTTCTCAAATTCAACTTTTTGCAAATAACCAAACGCTTTTGAGCCAACCCAAACTTCTTTGGGGTGTTTCTTAGAAATATCAACTTCGACCAGCACCCTATCCATAGAAGGCCGAGTCCTGGAAGCAGTCGCTTGGTCAGTTTGCAAGGGCCTGCCAAAAATAGAACCAAGCGCATGCAAGACTTGGGGGTTAAAGAAATGTAATCTCAAGTTTGGAAAAGAAATCCAGATCGGAACTATCGGGGACTCTTCATGAACATCAAAAAAAGGGGGTCCATTTTAAAACTCTCATTTGACAGTTATTGATAAAGTAAGATCTCCTAGCAAAAACCCTACTATAATCAAGATCATTAGACAGTTGAATCGCGACATGTCTCGAGTCC